AAAAAAAGAGCTCGGTTGACATGTAATTCTAAAATCACTGTCAACTTACATTTGTAAAGACTGATTACGTTTCTACCACTCCATAATTTAATTGTACTTTAATATTAAATGAGAAATTAACATTACGTACCCTTCGGAAATTTCACGAAATTGATCTTCTGTGTCAGGGAATACAATGTATTCGTCTGACAATGTTGTCATTGCATCGGTAACATTAGATATTACCTGGCTGACCATGCATTGGGATAGGCCGAAGAATTCACAGTCACCGATGGAGATCTGGAAATCTCCAGAAGCATAAAACTTCAATGTCACAAGAACCTGCAAATTAAATGCTAATGACTGAAGGATTGTGAATTTAACAACATCCCATTCACCTGAATTCTCTTTGGAACCCCTGACGTTGGACCTTCATCAGGGAGCAGTGGAGCAATCCGTTCCAGAAGCCACAGTGTCAAGTCCTTGGATAGTCTGGCATTCCAAAAATTTGCAACATTAGTCCCAGATAGTAGTCGTTACTATTAGGGCTAGATGATATTTTATATTTGTCGTCATTGTAATTACCGGAACCGTTTTCGAAACGTAAGTTCGTCCAGAGTATGAAATGGATCTTGAGCTTCTCTCATCTCAATATTCCGGGCCCTGTTGGCTTCAATCCTCTGATTATTAACAGCTGCTGCTATATTTCTTGCAGCTTCATCTACTGCAATTGCTGCTGCTACGTTCCTCGGGAGCATTGTGTATCCAAATCTGGATGGAGGAATNTATTAATAGCTGCTGCTATATTTCTTGCAGCTTCATCTACTGCAATTGCTGCTGCTACGTTCCTCGGGAAAGGGAGCATTGTGTATCCAAATCTGGATGGAGGAAGGGAAAATAGAATAAAATCCCAGCAATTATTACACATGATGCATGATGTTATAACCTCATTTTCGTTGTTTATTGCTCACATTTGGGGTTCGTTAGCACCCGAGCGATTATTAAATGACAATTACGTACCTTCTGAAAACTCTTGAATCTATATATCACAACTCAATTCCTTATTTCTCCTCTGCATCAACTCACAAATCAATTTAAAACTGCCGGGATATGTGTTCTCAAAATCTAACAGAACCGTTCATACCAACTACTGCCACGCTCTCTGGCGGGAGCAAAATTATAAGTTTTTATGTCGACATAAAACGCGCAAAATCTCCCCCCTGAATGTTCCCCTGTCACGTACCTTTAAACAATCTCCTGAAAATTATCAGTAAGCGGTTGAATGAAAAATTGACGACATTTAAAAACAAAATCACTGGACCCCTGATAAAACATGAAAGGATTTATAGAGAGGCAGACAGTGTCGGAGTGTTTCGTTGCTGAAATCTCTAAGCATCAGAAGCCCAAAGCCCCCAGGAAACGAAAATCCATGGAGATGAAATACTAAAAAAAAACCCTCCTAATTCTCTAAAATCAGAACTAAAAAAGCTGGCAAAGTCTCCCAAAAATGAAGAGGAGGAAAATAATCAGCTGGGCAACAACAAATGGGTTCCAGATAACTGGCAGGAGACGTTCGAGCTTTCCAGTGGACGAAATGGACTGCCACAAAAGTGCTTTGACGAAAAAGCGAGTCTTTCAGATTTTCGATTCCAGTTGCTGCTAGATCTTGTGTTGATCAGTCAAACAAAGGATTAGGTGACATACGCAGCTATGGAGAGACTCCAAAATTATGGGTCTACTCAGGATCTTCTGATCAAGACTCCTGACAATGTTCTTAGGAAATTAATTCATCCTGTTAGTTTTTATGAGATGAAGAAAATTATTCAAACCTTCTGAAAAGTTTGGAAAAGTAATGAGCTATTCGATCACTGTGAAGTTTTCTGAAACTGTTGGTTTTAAAAGGGGAAATGTTAAAAAACATTTTTCAAAGACGTGAAATTCTCTACAAAAAATGTCACTTCATGATTTTTTTTAAAGTTGTGTCTTTCATATATTTTGACAAACGGAATGAAAAACCAGCTTAGAACTCCTAAACCTATTTCTAATCCTGTTTAGATTTAACCTGTTAATTTTTATAAGATGAGGATTTTTTTTCAATAATTATTCTACAAATATTTCTGAAACTATTGGGTTTGAATGAAAATGTAAAAAAAACATTATTTCAAATATTGACAAAAGGAATATATCATCCTGTTTAGAAATGTTTTTGTGAACAAGATTTGATCCTAATTTTTTTATAATTTTTTTCAGCCCGAAGTCCAGTATATTAAGAAAAATCTGTAAAGTCCTCCTTTGAGACCGCAAAGGTGAAATTCCAGACACAATCGGAGGACTTTGCTCTTTTCCGAAAAGTCACCCTGATCGATCAAACCCAGAGTCAACTCCGAGTCAACTCTGGGTTTATAGGGAAAACCCAGTGAAGGAAGAAAAAAAGTCTGCGAAAGTTCCGTTAACCCATAGTGAACCCAGTGTTAACTCTGGGTTTAATCCATCAGGGCGGTCTCAAGGTGGGCCACATCTACATGCAAGTCCACTGCATCTGCAATTGTTTTAATTTGGTGGAGAGACAGGCGAAGACACCAGAGGGAATAAGGACGCAACTGGTGGAGTCGCCCCCCTAAGGATCGCTGGACTGAGATCAATTACCTGCTGGTTGGTTTCGGTTAGGAGATCTGTCTCCTTGAGCATCCTCAATGTGGACAGCGTCCCAGAAAAAATCTTTTGCTCTTTTCCCCTGATAACACTCAAAATAATTGGGACACTGAACAGGATAAAAAAAATTCTTAATGTTCTATCACTTCCCACCACTTCTCTTCTGAAAGTCGATGCATGATCCATAATTTTCGAATATCGTTTATCAATCATGCTGTTCTACTCGAGATTCAACAAATAATAATTGATTCGTAGCGTAAAATATTAATGTTGAATGAATAATGAAAAAGAACACTTGATATGAAATGATTTTATTTACAAAATAAAGTACAGATTTTTCTATTAATTTCTAGTGTTAGTTTCTTTTTGGTCTGGCCCTTGATTTTGTTCAAAGATCTCTCCTGCTTAAACTGCGCCTTTTTCGTCAATTTTTTTTCTGCTATTTGTTTTACTCTAACTCCACTTCTCGAATTTAGCAGAAAAGTCGAATGATTTCGTGAAATTTTGAGTTTGGGGAGAGGCTTTTTTTTCGGTAAGGTGATACAGAATTTTTCATTGAGATTCGTGAAGAATTGATGAAAAGAAATGGAATTAAAACAATTTTATCCCATGTTTTTTGGAATGTCTTCGAAATTAGAGGGTTCAGAGACAATGTCGAAGTATATTCTGTGGAGGTCATTAGCTACGTGAAGTTGGCATCGAAGTTTGGAAAATCGACTTTTTTTTTGTTGGTCTGGATTGTACTCATTGAGTACTTGAATGTACCCTATGCCCTTTTTTTTATGACCCTGAAGTTTGCTGAAATAAAGATTTGACGACGGATATCTTGTAAGGACACTGTGCGATTGGAATTTTTCAATTTTT